AAATAATAAAGGAGAGAAAATGGAAAGAAAAGGCCTCGTTCAGGTTTTTATCCATAATGAATCATATCCATTCTACTACTGATCATTCATATACTCAACACCAAAGAGTCTGACGTGAATGAATACTAACACACGGCTTTATTTTATTGTTTGATGTGGGTCTAAAATAAATGAGGAATTAAATGTGTTTGTGCTCAGTCTTCATTGGTGGAAATCATTTGTAAAAAGTTCAAAACATAACGTCTAGATTTGAAAATGCAAACGCACACCTCTTTGTGCCAAAGATAATGAGATGTGATGATGATCAAAGTATGTCCTGTTATGGAAATGTGAAATAAATCCACACAGACACAAACAGGTTTGAGTTAGCTTCACTCAGGGCACAAAGAGCAGCACGGAGCGTGGCAACAAGCTGACAGTCGTGTGTAGAGATGGGCCCAGCCCAGCGTCACAGTGCACTCACAATACCTTCTACTGAAGGAGGCAGAGCGCGATGCTGTGGGGCCGTCGTTCAGCAGCTCAGGCTGACACAGAGAAGAGCAGCATCTTCACATATGCAACACATTCTAAGAGTTTTTATGTGTTTTGACTCGGGCACTCCTGAGGCTCTTCTATGACTGCGGGGGCATCGGCCATCTCCTGCGCTCGGGTCTGGGGACAAGACCAGACCGAAGACCGGTGAGGAGGGCAGGCCCTGTGCTGATGCAGTGGTGGAGGCGGTGAGTGAGGAGAATGGCTTCTCAGCTCTGATGGACCACACTTCCTGCCCCACATGCGATGCAGTGACATCAGCGGGCAGCTCCTTGCTGCGTCCATAGTCCACTCTGTACCACACTGTGAAATAACACTGCACCTCCTGTAAACGATGTAAGGCACGTGATCTGCTGTCTGCCTTTAAAACTCTGCACGCAGGTCCTCAGTCATGGAGTTGTGGTAGTCCTGTGGTCTGCTTAGTTTCTCTACAATCACAGCTTCTGTTAACATTCGGCCTGCAGCTGACCTACGACCTCTCTGTGCATAAATGTTACCTTGTTTATATAAGTCTGCTTCAGCTGTGTGCAAATAAAACTCATATAACTCATCTATAGATCATAAGTACTTTGTAACCAATAATTACTGCAAACACTGCTGTGAATTCTCAGAAACACGTGATCATATGAATATACGCCCACAAAGGATTTGTGGTCTGTCTGCAGTTTAAGGAGACGCTGCTCTGATCCAACATCTTCAGCATGGAGATACAAAAATATCACGAGTGGAATAATGTAACAAACAGACCAACACGTGACCCGAAGGCTTTACCAGGGTTTGTGTGCCCAGTGTCCCCTAGAGGGCGCTAAAACACAAGCATAAATCTCCACAAACATGAAATAAGTAGCGCCACCAAACAATAAGATACAGACGCTTTAATAAACCAGTGAGGTGCTCAAACAATATCAGACTACCTGCCAGAAAAAGGAGAAACTCGGATCCTGTAAGATTCTGTCAAAGCGTGTTGTAATTCCCTTAAATCAAGGAAACACGTGACTTCATGTTTTTACACCGATAGTTGCGCCAGCAGCTCAGTCACATCACTTAACCGCTAAAACCTTTTTTCCAGGAATGCAAGTAAATAACTTTAATGTGTCACTTTAATCAAATAATAATCGGATTGACTTTTTTCAGCTTTTTTGTAAAACTGAATTTTACGCTCATGTGTAACAACAATAAAACATCAAAGTGCACAGTGGCAGACTATGGAAGCCCGTTTCCGCCACTAAAAAAAAAAAATCCATAACTCAAAATTTCGAGTTATTTTCTCGAAATTTCGACATATTAACTCAAAATTTTGAGAAAAGTAACTCGAAATTTCGAGTTAGCGCTGCCAATCAGTAATCTACGTGAATGACGTCATTTCCATGTTACCCGGAAGCTGAAGCCCTCAGCTACAAATGCTACAGCTAAGCTACCGGTATTACATCCAGTCGTGAATGCACAGATTGCTGAGTGTTTTCAGCCTGGCTTCACAAATGATGAAACCCCTGTGTTATTAGCTGAATCACGTGGTGTTACTATCAGCAAACATACTTTAATTTGTTGGGATCCGTCGGCAAAAAAAATGCTGCCCATGCTCATGCTGCCCGACATCAGCCAGCGCGTAGTGGGAATGTCACAGGCACCGATCGGTTTTCTATCGCCCATTTGCTGGGAGTAAGGGCGCCCTCCGTTGGCGAGGTGCGCCTGCTGCTGGCGGCACAGGGAGGAGAGGGCGGGGCGGCGGGGGAGTCTCTGGCTGGAGCAGCGTCTAATAACCAACTCGCAAAATAAAACAAAATAAAAACAAAGCAACAAACACGAAAACACCAGACATCATGATACAGACTCATAATTTGCACCGATGTTTTTTCTATAGGGAAAAGTGAGAGCGAGAGCCCTCGGTGCGCCTGCGCGCTGCTGAAGTCAAAGTAAACTTTATTGTCATCTCCGCTACAGACAGTCCGGCATGTAGAGACGAGACGACGAGGCTGCAGTTACAGCGGTGCAAGTAAACAAACAATATATATAAGAAAATAAATATACACTTTAGGACTCGGGGTAAAGGATCAATAACAATTTAAAATTTACAGTTTGATGATTTAAAGTCTCCACACAACCCGTCGAAAGGGGAGGGGCCTGCTGCTTCCAAATAGAGCACATTTCATTCATAATAATCTAAATCCAAGCCCATTATGGATTCATGATCTGAATCCTGGGTTGTGTGAAATCTCAGAAAAGCACCTTAGACAAAGTGAATCTGTGAACTAAAGTGTAGGTGTGTTAGGTTGTGGTGATCCTCGGGTTGAGGGATGGGTGTTCATACTGGAGTGCAAAATTAAAACCAAGATGACCAAGAAAAGTTCAAAGCCATCAGGTGCTCAGTTTAGAAAAAGGAGACAAGAAGTTGGTTTTAATCACTGAAAGAAAAATAATTAACAAATCAAAATAAAACAAAAGCATTTTGATCAGCCCTATTTCTACTCGATTAACAATAGATAACCATTAGGTGTCACATAAGATAAAGTATCCTTAGTTTTCAGAATTATTAGAGCTCTTTTTTCCTTTTAATTTACTTTGTCCAAACGATTTCTAAATGGCTTGACAGTACGTACAGAAACAGTTCCCGGAGTGGCTTGAAACTTGGAAAAATGGCTTCTTTGGAATGTTAGCTGACTTCTGAAGTGACGGACAGAGACAGAAGAAATGAAGTTCAAGCAGAAAGAAATCCTACAGCAGCTGAACCAACTTGGCAGATCCCGAACAAACCCAGAGTCCGACGTGGAGGGGCTCTGTGAAGGTGGTCTCTACCTTTGCAAGGAGAGTCATGGAGCCGGAGACGCTGTGGAAGGACAGGATACCTGCGCTCTGATCCACGTACACCCCGATCTTGCTGGACTGAGGAACCTGTAGGGACATGGTGGTGCTGTCATGTCTGAACTCGTTATTGTGACACCACAACGCCCACGACTTGTCGTTGAATCCGAATCCACTCTCACTTCCTGTTCTGCTGATGCTCTTGTAGGCGACCGCTATAGCAACAAACTTGCTCCACTTCACCTCCCAGTAACACCGTCCACTCAGAGCTTCTTTGCTGAGGACCTGAAGGCTGTCGAACCTCTCTGGGTGATCAGGGTACGACTGCTCCTTCTTCATGTACGTGACCTTCCTGTTCCCCTCAGACAGTGACAGCCATTTGCTCACTGTATTTGGATCCAGCGTGATTGGACACATATACTGTAAGAAGTCGTTTCTGGTCTTGGGCTCTGTCGGCGGTGCAAAAGGTAGCGGCGGCGTCACCAAAGCTGGGTGTAGTGGGGCCAAAGCCGTGGGCTCTGCTGGAGGCACCACATGTTGTTTCAATGAATTTTTGCGTGCTGCTGTTGCCAGAAAAGCTGTTAGATGTGGTGCTGGTGGAAAACGGGGTTGTTTCAAGAAACTCTTGGGCTCTGCTGGTGGAACCACACGTGGTTGTTGGAAGGCTGCCGATTTGACTTCTTCTTCTTTTGTCACAGAAGATGGCGGTGCTGGTGATGGTGGCACCACATGTAGTTGTTGTTGGAAGGCTGCCGATTTGACTTCTTCTTCTTTTGTCACAAAAGATGGCGGTGCTGGTGGTGGTGGCACCACACGTAGTTGGTGTTGGAAGGCTGCCGATTTAACTTCTTCTTCTTTTGTTATGAAGGATGTTGGTGCTGGGACTATATGCGGTTGCTTCCCTGAACCCTCGAGCTCTGCTGGTCTCAGCGGCGCCTCTCCTTGGGTCCAGCCCTGACTCAGAAGGTCTTGGAGTTTGTCTTTGAGCTGCGATACCGCCGCCGTCACCTCCTCAAAGCTCGGAGGAGGGACGTTGACGCCGGTGTGTGTAGATTTGCCGAGTGCTGACAGCGAGTTGAAAGTGAGTAGAAAGCGGTGGTGGTCCTCGGTGTATGAAAGCTGCTTCAGCTCCGAGTCTTTCTTCTTTAACTCGGCGATCTCGTTCTGCAGCTTCTCCTCGAGCTCTTTGACCCGACGCGTTTCTGTTTCCTGCTGGATTCTGATCTGCTGCTGCACTTCGGAGCTTCGTCTCGCGATGAGTTGGGCCAGCTGGCTGAACACCATCTGGCTATTCCTTGCTGCTTCATCGGCAGAAACGTTGATGACCCCCACCTGCTTCTGAAGCACTGTCAGATCTTGCTCCAAGTCTTGGATTCTCTGCTGGATGTTCTGCCGACATGGATCGAGCTCATTCTGCCTCTCGGCCCGCTCTGCTGCCAGTGACACGACGTCGTGGCCTTTGTGTTCGCTGATAGAGCAGAGGTAGCAGATACACTGCTTGTCACTGCGGCAGAAAACTTCCTTCACTTTGTTGTGGAGAGAGCAGATTTTTTCTTGGAGGTTTGCTGAGGCTTCAACCAGTTTGTGGCTCTGAAAGGCCTGAGAATCGTAGTGAGGCTGGAGATGATCGTCGCAGTAGGAGGCCAGACACTGTAGACAGGACTTGGTGGCTCTCTGCTTCCTCCCAGTGCAGAAATCACAGGGCACATCTCTAGGTCCAGCATAGTTGTGATGAACAGGAGGAGCAGCTTGGAGTTCAGTTTTCTTCAGCTCCTCCACCAACTCTGCTAACATGGTGTTTTTGCCCAGCACTGGCCTCGGTATGAAGGTTTTCCTGCACTGGGGACAAGAGTGAACCCCCCTTTGATCCTCTCCATCCCAATGGTTGTTAATGCAGATCATGCAGTAGCTGTGCCCGCAGGGAAGAGTCACCGGATCCTTCAGCAGATCCAGACAGATCGAGCAGCACAACTTTTCTCTGTCCAGTTGAGGCATTTTAATTCTGAGAGACAGCCAAGAGTTTCTCTTCTTCTCAGCAGATTAAAGGCGAGTTCTGATCCGAACCCAAACTCGCGCCAGTCCGTCGCACGTCTGCAAGACACGACAGCAGCAGGAAATATGCGGACAGAAACCAGCTGCTGTGTTTAAGAGCAGGCAGCAGAAAGAAGCTATCAGGTTTAACTTCATTCCAGTCCAAATATGATGTCAACATGCATCACAAGACCACCCCCCTCCTCTTCCAGACCCAGTGAGCGCAGCTACCTGCATCACCAGGAGAGGACCGAGGTCATCACAGGCGATCGGGCCCTTCAGGAGCCCGCGGTGTGCTCGTCTTTGTGAATACACTCAGCACTCATGCCTCCTATAACACACTGAGATCAACCTGCCTATCACAACTTGGAGCTTTACTCATATTTGCACATTTGTGCGTGTGCAGTGCAGAGCTGCTGTTAGAAGAACAGAAATCTGATCACTGTAGAGGAGCTGAAAATGAAGCATTCAGTCGATAATAATAATAATAATAATAATAATAATAAATGATCAGCGTGTAACGCACGAGCCTGGAACAGCTGTGCTGAGAAATCTGACACACAGAACAAGACGTGATTTCTACTTTAATAATGAGTGAATGTGTGCGGCCTGGCTCCGCACCGCTTCCTTCTCCTCAACTTGCCATGACAAGAATTTCATGACACTTGCTGAAAAATGCGAATGCTTGGCTGGAAAACCAGCAGGTCTGCAAACAGATCCAACAGTTTCTTTTAACTCTCCTGAATCTGATTTGCAGATAACAACACACACATCCAACACACAAAGGTCGCCTCTCGTCTCTTATGTACAGTATTGCTACTATTGCACAACTGACATTCAATTCTATTCAATTCTATTGTTTTTCTTAATTTTTGCTGCTCTTATCTTTGTATTGTCCACTTTGTTTCATGTTCAAGCAAATTTCCCTGATAAAGGTTTATCTTATCTTATGTCAGGTGTTTACATGCTTACAGTGTAGGAACAGGTTGATGAAAGGGGAAGATAAACCTCCTGTACTCACGAGTATGTGTTTAGTGCAGAGGACAGTATCGTCAGGTGTGCAGGCTGGATCACAGAGCACCCAACCTCTCCTCGCCTCCTCGTAACTCACGAGAACTGTAAATGTTGTGAAATTACAGAACATGAACATGTTGTGTGCCGAGTCACGAAGAGCAGTCTTTGTTTTATTTGAGGATTACCTTCAGACAGGCAGAAGAAAAAGTGCAGTTTGGTGCACACAGAAAGCTGAGAAGCTGCAGAGGAGGAGGAGTTTATCAGGTTCATCTTCATTCCATGAAGTCACGGAGCGAGAAACTGCGACTGACAGCCTGATCTGGGAGTACAAACTCCTCTAAACAGAAAACCAGAAGACCAACGGAGGAAAGCTTTGACGTCATTCAGACTCTTTGCTGTGCTTTCCTTGTTTTCCTTCATTGACACGTGCACAGAGGCTGACCGGAGACCAGCCACAGCAAACCCACCTGAATGTACAGAATTCAGGAAGCACAGAACGGTCACAGGCCTCTGGCCTCATACGGGTCGAGCACTCCATGTTGACCTTTAACGGCAGATTCATGTTGGGGAGTTCAGGTTTGATGATACTTTCTTGTAACTTTAATCCAAACAGTGAACTCGCGTAGGAGAGCGACCCCCGGAGTCGTCGTTCGCAGAGCGCCTGCAGCCTCGAGTCAGCACGGTGGCACTTATGCTTAACTGATCTGCAGCCTCCTCTGCCAGCGCGATGCAAACTGATGGAAATGCTCAATAAACGCACGTGCTGGCTTGAAGGCAGAGTCAGTGAATAAATCCTGAGCTGCAGCTTCGTCCTCGGCCTCCTGCTAGGACCCATTCTGAGCGTTCACCATGGCAACCGGCTCATACAGAGCAGAGCATCTATTTTAACCCGGCGGAGCCAAGAAATGGCCGACTCCAGCGTTTCTGTCATAGATGAAGCTGCTTCTTTGATCTGGATCTTGAAATCCAGCTCTCAGCTGTGGCTAGCGGCTCTGCGGCGAAGCGCCTGTGAACCGTGGGTCAGAGGTCACGAGGCTGGACAGACGGGGGTGTCTGTGGCTCCGTCTGCTGTGGCGAGACACAGGAGCAGCTGAGAGGAACTTTGAAACAGACAGCACTGTTCATCTGTGTGTGATTCGGGGCGATTTAGATTCTGTTGTGCATTTAAAAAGCTGCCTGACAACATTCAGTGACTGTGTTCGTCGTGCGAACAGATCCGGACGCGTTCAGCAGCCCGCGATGACCCACAGCTAGTCCTGAAGTCATCTCAACCTAAGCTTCACTTCATCTCCAACAAGATGAGAGTGTGACCAAACCAAATCACTGCGATTACAGCAACATAAATGTTAATCACATGTACAGCTGCTTCCTGGAACAGAAGCAGGGATCGTGCACGCGGATCCTTCACTGCTTACTCTTGCTCAAATATGTGGTCTGTCTGAGCGGACACGAGGGGATCAGGTTTAACATCATTCCAGGACGAGCAGGACAGTTTAACAAAACAGCAAACATCATCGCTGGAAATGTTCTGTCAAAACAACAAAAGCAGGCCAGCACGTTCCCATCAAGGCCGAGGCCGCGGACGCCGCTCTGACCTGCTGTCAGCTTTGGTCTCAGGGCTGCAGAGAGCCAGCTTTCTTTGGGTTAGCTGCTTTAACCAAACCCCAAAGCCTGTTAACATAATACAAGTCTTTGTTGTCATTGCACAGTCACACCAAGCACAACAATGCAACAACATCAAACTGTCCCATGTCGGCACTACGCACAACTAAACACAACACTGTAACTTGAAGTGCCAGAAAGGTAAGTGCAAAAAAGGATGACTTGATAAACAAATAAAAGAATGAGTGCATGTTTATTATTATTGTTATTGCCCCCAAAAAGTCCAGGGAGGTAGCCAATCAGGTCAGCTGTGAGCATTGATCAGGGCTGTTGTAAAAGCTGTCGTGGAGTCTGTTCGTTCACAGATAATCAGTTTTACATAAGAAGAACCACAATTATTGTTCTGTTAGCCTAACCCAGAGCTTCAGAGCCATTGGGGGGGGAGAACCCTTGGAGGACACTGCTAGCATAATGAACAGGTTTGTGATGAGGCGCCCACGCAAACGCAAAGCAGGAGATGAAGCATCGCTGAATATGTTTCCAAACCAACTTCATTCAAAGCCAAAGAAAATATGATGAAGCAAATCTGCCCTTTGGCTTCACCTGCACAGGTGCTGAGGTAGGTCTCCCTGCAGGATTGGTTTTCCCTGTCGGGAGAAGCGCTGGGCTGTTCAAATCACGGACAAACAGGATCCCACATTCTTGATCTTTAGTTCACAAACACTTGTTGTAATGACTAA